CTGTTATCAAAAATCTTCCTAGTTCACAGAGACAAGTAAACATGTAAATGTATTGTGGGAAACTGTAACAGCAAATTAACACCATACATTAACCATATTTAGGTAAGATTTTTCTGATTCTGATAACAAATGCTGCTGCTACAGAATCAGCCGTGATGTGAGTATTGATCAATCTCTCTGACTTTTGAAGGTCAGAGGAAGTTTACAAAACTTAAGAGATGCATTGAATACAAAACAGGAAGAACTTGTATGATATTTGAAGTTGAGCAAAGATCAGTATCATAACTACAAACTGCACATCTACACAGATTCTCTTTTAATTTCATATTATGTACCCCTGGTAGATTTCATGTATTTATATATGTCTCTCTGGAACTGTGGTGAAAAAAAATTCAATGGACATTTCAGAGCATGTCTGCATATAGTTTGAGAAGGTTACAAATTTATTTTCTTAAAGGAATATTTTATTCACTTATGTACACAACCATTTGTGAAATACTGATCGCTGAATAAACATTTATTTAAAATTTGGACAAAAAAGTGTATGTGTGAACATAAAAAATATGGAATGTAATTGCATTGCTTGATGAAAAGCAATGAAGAAATGTTTGCCTCCTTTTGGATCTGTCCAACAAAGTACAAAATAATATGCAATGTTATACATGCAAGTAAACGTTTTTCAATGACAAAATGATCTGTTATGTCATTTGAGGCAAATATATATAGAGATTGTTTGTTTATGATAAATAACAGTGATATCTCCTTAAAATATCGAAGTTATCTTCCCCAGGAGATGAAATATTCCTACTATTCCACAAAAATCTAAATTTTATTTGTTACATTGTTTCCCTTTATCAATGCCAGCTCTGTCTATTGATCTGTGTGATGTATTATCATTGCTTCCCCATAAACAGTTATAGTTCTTATCCACATGAAGTCTTTAATAATATAAAATAAAGTAAGTAAATGCAATGTGAACACTACAAAAATACAATTCTGATTCACCACGCCAGCATCAATTTATTAAAGTAAAATGTGAGTTTGTACGCAACTTTTGCCAGAAATGTCATTCCATACCCTTGTTATAAAAGAACTTCAATACACACAAGGAAAAATTAATGCTTTCACTAAATACATTGTGATCTCATTGGTCAAAAAAGCATGAAAATTGAACATGTTAAATCAGTTATTTTCACTGCAAAAAAAATCAATTATTATACAGATTCTTTTTCCCAAATATAATTGTGTTAAAAATTACCCGAGTTACATAACAATATGAATTACTTTAACTTTTGCAAATGGTTTGCTTTGAATAAATTACCCCTCAAGTTCGTAATTGATGTACCAGTACAGTATTAACACGTGCCACACAAATGAAAGTCTACCTACAACCATTCTTATAGAGCATCAAAGTGTGTAATTAAATAAAATTAATTTTGTGTCATTGTGGTAACAAAATATATAAATAATCCAGATATCTGAATCTAACATATAAGATAAAACAGAACTAAAAATTTGAACAAATGTCTAATAAGTTAAAAATACATGTTCCATATAGAATAGTGCACAACCACTTAAACATTTGATACATGTAATAATTTTTATCATATAAAACAAATAAATACAGATATCTTGGTACAAAAAATATCAAATAACTGAATAACTGAATTAATTTTATTCTTATAAAGATAAGTTGGAAAAATACAGTAGAAAAACTATAGTAGTATTAATTCAGATCAATTTATTTACCCTGACCTTTGAAAGTGTAGAGTATTAACACATAAAGGCAGTATTTAAAGTGATTCATTATGCAAATTAAGACACTGACTTAAAACATATAATCTCAAAAAGATCAGTATCAGTAAACAGATCATGTGTAATACTTAAACATAGCATTAATATTACCCTTATAAAGCAAGCACAATCAATATCAAATAAAAAAATGATAAATATTTGTGTTCATTCAAAGAATTGTGAATGCATTTTAAGTGTAGAAAACAATCTACAAATGTTTACTTATATAAAAGTACAACATTAATTGATATGCATGATATAATTAACAATTTGCAATAAATAAATCTCAATTTTTAAAAATTAGTCCTAATTATGGTGATGTTTAATTGACTTTTTTTTATATCGATCTGGAATCGATGAACTGATGCCATATATGAATATAAAAAAGTTGTCAAAAATGTCAAAATAATTCAGGCTATGTTAAAATTGGATAATTTAAACCAGTTTATATACAATTCAATTCACTTTTTTAAATTTTTTGTCAAACAGCCCCTCTGTACAGCATGTGAACACATAGAAAGTACAATGTATATGTGGAAGATGAAGAAAGTTAAGAATAGAGTAAGAAATCCTGCTAAATTTTCTTTTTTTTAATTGAGGTTCCAAAAATCTGTTAATCCTCACAACAAGCAGCTTTTTTTTTTTAGGAATGTAGGTTTTTGAACTATTCAATCTCATAATAGATCTTTGCTATTTTTAATAAGCAGAATGACTGTCTCATGATATAGAAATCATTGGCATCACTAGCATCCTGCACCAGATTCAACATGAAGTTAAGATATAATTTTAGGATTAAATATTTCATCTTGAAAGGTCTTAAAATCACTGACTTATCAATATGGTTGTGGCACTGCATAATGTTCTTCACAGGATAGTATAGCTTGGTGCAAATCATTGGCATTTCAGCAGTTTCAATGTGAATTTTTATGACACTTTCATGAAATCACAAGTCTGATAGTATAATTATGATCTGTAAAACAAGGATTCATTAATGAAATAATTATACTATTATCTAAATGAGAGTATTCTATCAATCATGGCCGAAGTATAGGAAAGATGAACATCATGAATAAAATTAAATATCAACTCTTGCAGAAGTCCTCTAACTATAGAAAATATCAAGAGGGTAAAAATACACATGTCAAATCTAAATATCAAATATTCTTTTTCAATGAATGTGAAATGACATAGACAAATCTTGATGTCAATTACTTTCGTCAGATAAATGTGAAGTGACATGGATAAATCTTCATGTCCTATTATATATACTCTTGTTTGATAAAAGTGAATTGAAATATACTAAATCTTTATATCAAATACTCTTGTTAAATAAATATGAAATTACAGACAAATTGTAATGTCAAATGTTCTTGTCAGATAAATTTTAAATGACATGCATAAATCTTATGGTCAAATTATAATCTTGTTCATGGAAAGTGTATTGACATCAGATAAATCTTGATGTCAAATACTTGTCTGATACAGGTGACCACTATAAATAACATTTGTGTGTTGACTTAAGTCATGTATTCTGTCCATATGCAACAGCTTGTTTATGAAGATAATCGTTGATCAGCTGACCTTCTATTGAAGTAAACAGGTAGATACCCTCCCCTGTATCACATCGGCTAAAACATACAAGAATGAATATAAAGAGAGATTTGGTGAGGTCTAATAAAATATGCAGGGTGTCCCACTAGTACAGTAATAAAATCTTGGAAATGTTGAGTAGTAAATTTGGAGTGTTATCAAATAAAAAGAGGCCCATAGGGCCTGTATTGCCCACCTGTATCTTGAAAAACAGCAATGTTATACATGCCTATAGGTTGGGTATTTAAAATATTTCCAATTTAAATCACAGTCACTTAAACTCTTTGATGGGGCAACACCAAAGGGTAAATTCATATATTATTTTTATTATTACGAAGTAATTTTATACATATATATATGGTAATGGGGTGAGGATCTAAACTGTTTTAAAGATATTACCATGAAACAAAGTCCCTAGGAGTAGGGCCAAACCACTTCAGGGCCAATTCTTACTTCATGATGGTGTTTATCTCTGATCCTTAACATTGCTATATATGGTTATGGGGTGGAAATCTCAACTGTTTCAATGATATAACACGGAAACAAAGTCCCAAGGGGTGGGACAAGATCCCTGAGCCAATTCTTACATCATGCATGTATTTATCCCTTTGTGCCCAGCAATGCTTTATTATGAGATGGGGATCTAAACTGTTTTCAAACAAATTTCCCCTATTGAGCTCCTCCTGTCCTGCCCTAGGGAGCCCCAAGATCCACCATTTATACAAAATTGACTCCTCTTCACCTTAGCATGATTCGCAGCAAATTTAGACATAATCCAATCATTCCTTCTGGAGGCGTAGGATTGTAAAGAATTTGCTCTATTTCCTCTATTCAGGGTCCCGCCCCTCCTGCCCCAGGGGGGTGAGATGCACCAATTATGATAATTTATTTCCCTTTACCCACACATGTTTCTGATCAAATTTGGTCAAAATCCAATCAATCCTATAGGAGGAGTAGGATTTTAAAGAATTTGCTCTATTTCCACTATTGGGCACCACTCATCCTGCGGCAGTGGGCTAAGATCCACCGTTGATACAAAATTAATTTTCCTTTATCCACAGAAGCTTCTGACCAAATTTGGGCTAAATCCAATCATATCTACAGGAGAAGTAGGATATTAAAGAACAAGCAAAATTCCTCCTTTTAGGCCCTGCCCCTCTGGCCCTGGAGCCAGGATACGCCATTCCCCTATCAATGTTTCTGACCAAATTTGGCCAAAATTCCCTCAGTCGTTCATGACTAGTAGTGTTTTGTAGAAAAAGATAGCAAATGACAAACAGATGACAGATGCTGTAGTAACCCTATAGCTCCCTTAGCCCGAAGGGCCACGTGAGCTAAAAAGGCAACTGTCTTCTCTAGTTTTCCCTATAAAGGCTTCAAAGAGACCATACCAGTTTTACTTAATAACAAATTCTGTGACATTATTTCCTGTGCATCATTAATTTAAATTTTGGGAAAATCCTACTAATTGGTTTTGTGGAATAAATTCTTATTTAATATCAATTTTGTTAAAATCCCTGTTTTTATGGTCTGACATCGAAGAAATTTCCATCAAATTCATTTTAGCTGTTGTAGATTACATAAAGTTGATATGGTGACAGCTGTCCTTAAGTTATATTGAGGTTTTTTCATGTAAAACCAATTTTCATGATGTAATACTTACCATAACTTTAGTATGCAAATACAGTACCTACACCCATCTTTGTATCCCAACAACAAAAGATTCGAAACAATCCCGCCTTCCCTACGATCCATGAGCCATCACGGCAGGAACGCAGAGTGATCTCCCTTCCTCTAATAACCTTTATGGAGTACTCCACAGAGGGGCAGCCAGGCAGATAAGGAAAAGGGGAGGATAGGGTGGGACTCCATAAAGTTATGGTAAGTATTACATCATGAAAATTGGTTTTACATGAAAAAATCTCAATTTCATTTCAGTAATAATTACCATAACTTAAGTATGTGAATATGTCTTACCGTAGTGGTGACTAGAAGCCAGCCAGCCCCTTCAGCACAGACAAAGTAGTAGGGAGGGAGAACAGAGTTCCAAAGAAAAGGAAGCGACCTCTCCAAAAAAGAGCAGGTGTACCCACATGTCGCTGTATGGAAAGACATGCCCTGGGGCTAATGAGGAGGCCAAGCCACTGACTATGCCACCACCAGAGGTCCCAACGAATACAGGTCCTCTGAATGGGAAGCTAGGGATCGCAGATAAAAATCTGTGAAGGTATCCCTGCCCCGCCAGAATGCTGCAGACATGACCTCCTGAAAGGAGGACCCATTGAGAAGGGCCCAGGACGTAGCGAGGGCCCTGACCTAATGAGCCCGCACTTTCACTCTCGCCAAGCTTGATTATCAGAATGCTCGTAAGCATACTTAGATCCCCTGGCAAACCCACCTGGAAACTGACTGGGAGGAGATATCTCATTGTCCCTGTTTGATGGGCAAAAACAGGTGGGATTAAGAGCCCCCTCCCCCTCCCTCCATGCCATAACAGGCAAGGACACTGGCAATAGCTGTACGATAGTCAGCAATAGTGCCAGGTGCCAGATTGCAGTCCCTAAACAGAGAGAGTAGGAAATCCGCAATCAGCTGCCCAGAGATCTAACAACTCTCGAGAAAAGCCTACCTTGGTGAGGCTTCCAGAGATAGCCTCCACGCGTGAAGGATCTTTGGTCAAGAGTGTGTCGTTCTGGACCGAGGCTGGAGTAGCAGATTCAGTCTGGTGGGGAGAGCCAAGGGCTGCTCCACCAGAAACGACAAGAGCTCCAGAAACAAAGGTTGCCTCGCCACAGAGGGGCTATCAGAAGTAAGGAGCAGTGATGCTCCCAGAACTTCTGTAACACCTTGCCCACCAGATTGAAGGGAGGGAATGCATATGCATACATCCGGTCCCAGTCCAGAGAAAGGGCGTCCACAGCCCAAGCCTTTCTGTCTGGAACCAGGGAGACGAAGGTTGGCAGCTGGTTGTTCAGGGAAGTGGCAAACCGGTCTACTAGAGATCTGTCCCACACCTAACAAATACCCTTGAAAATCAAGGGGCACAGCTGCTATTCCGTCAACTCCAGCTGGCGGCCCCTGGAGAGAGTGTCCGCCAACACATTCAGCCTGCCAGGAAGATGCTGGACCTATATGGTCAACTGCATGTCCTGGCAGAGAAGAAGGATGTGGATGGTGACACACAGAATGTGAGACCTGGTGCCCCCCTGCCTCTCCAGATATTTGACAACTGTAAAGTGGAAACGGTAGGGTTACTCGACTGGGCAAGTTTTCAGAACTGAAAACCACCTAGCAAACACGACATTGAGGAGCAGGGAGACCTGCAAGGCCGCCGATGCTCTCAATGCCGTGTTCAGGGCAGAGGGGAGCCTGTTTTGTCTTGGATAACCAACCCTCAGGCAAATCGGATACCCTGTATAGACAAATTGTCAGGAAGTCTGTATGACAGAACTTGGATGGAGAGGCACAACCCCCTCTCCATCCTGTGGTGCTCTTTTGGATCGAGCACCACCTGGACCCCTGATTTGCCAGGCCAGACAGCTAGCTGTCTCAACTCTAGCTGTGCTGGTTGAGAGGCCAGCTGCCCGTCGTGTGTGGCATAGTCAAAGCCTCCGACAAATCGCCAACACTGAGCTGCATACCGGCAAATCCTGGAGCGCAGGTAGAGGAGGAGTTCTTTAAAACCCGAGCAGTTTCAGGGCCATCTACCACCTGGGAACCCTTTGGCCGGGAGGGTCATCATCAGATGACTTGAATGGATCAATCTCCGAGCACCCAAGAGAAATATGAATGACATCATCTTCCTCTGCTGAGCCAGCACCCCTGACTTCCATCTCCTGCTCAATAGGGACCGAAGTCCCCTTGAAAGGAACAGGGGCTGCCAGAGGAGCCATCTCCAGAGAGGGGGACTCCTCTATATGGCATTTAGATGCAGAGCGTCTAACAGTCGTAGCTGTAGGCTTGGGTCGGAGAGGGAGAGACCAACCCCCATGGGTTCCACAAGGGAAGACCCATGGAGTTAAACCCAAACCCCTGAGGGAATGGTAATGGTCCCGGGGGCTGGGAATGACCCCAGAGCTAGCCAAGATGGCCTGCCTGAGCCTGGGGCTGGACACTCTGTCCAAAGGACCAGGATGAACCGCCAATCCCACCAGGTGGAAACCCAGAAATGCTGAGAAACTGTTGGTACCCAGAACCATCTGCAGGTTGGCCTGGGCGACCCAGGAATAAGTGCCTGCAGGCACCCCGACACCCCGAGCCCGGGGGAAAAGGAGACCGGAAACTGGACGCCTGGCCTGAAGCCCCAAACCCTTGATGGAAACCCCCTGGGAAACCCTGCACTGGGAAATCTGGACTGGAGCGGAAAGTCCCAGTGCCAGAAGCCTGTGAGGGTGGGAAAACAGGCCCTATGCTGACACCAGGATTAGTGAACTCAGTGTCACTAATCCCCGTAGCCACAGACAGTCCTGACCAAAAAAAGGACGAATTCCTCTTCTGGCGGGAATTTCCCCGGACAGGCATGGGAGCCTATGCAGCAGACCCCATGTGCAAACAAAGACAGGCATCATGAGGATCCCGTTTTCTATAGAAATGGGAACACCCCTGCGCTGACCCCCGACGTAAACCCCAACACTATTATCCATCATCGAAACAATCAAAAATCGTAACAATGAAAACAAGGGCAATGAAGTTTTCTAACAATCAAAAAATACGAATGAGCACACAAAGCCTACCGTAAGCAGAAAGACTGCACCGCAAACAAGAGGCCCGAGGGACCTTAACGCTCACCTGAGGAATATATATGTCAATAATCTGGGGATTTTAAAATGTTGCAAAAATGTAACAACACATGTGCAGGACCATGTGTAAAACATCTGTACCAAGTTTGAACATGACCCACCCAATGGTTCTTGAGAGGAAGTCCATAATGTCTTAGCCAAACAGAGGCCAGGGTGGCCATCTTGGATTTTGAATCGCCCCAAAAAGTTAAAACACTTGCCACGACCTTGTGTAGAACATTCGTATCAAGTTTCCCCTTTCCCCCCCTTCTGGGGCCCCTATTGGGGCCACGCCCTTTTTCTTCGCAAACTTGAAGCGGCTTCCCATGGGGATGCTTTGTGCCAAGTTTGGTCAAAATCCATCCAATGGTTCTTGAGAAGAAGTCATTTAAAGAAGGTTTTTTTTACATATGGCCCCTTTTACACCCCTTATGGGCCCCAAAGGGGACATAATCACTTTTTTCAACATAATTTTATATGTCCTTCACTAAGGGATGCTTTCTACCAAATTTGGTTGAAATCGGTCAAAGTTGAATTTTCGACCCTCTGAGCGCCCCCTAGTGGAGCCGTTTTTGATCTGATTTTTTTTTCATTCATAAACTTTGTAGACCTGGCCATAAGGAACCTAAATATCAAATATAAATTTAATCTGACTGTTGGTTCATGAAAAGAAGATTTTTAAAGATTTACCTAATTTTACCCCCTATTTCCCCCTCCTGTGGCCCTTTTTCTTCGCAAACTTGAAGCGGCTTCCCATGGGGATGCTTTGTGGCAGGTTTGATCAAAATCCATTCAGTGGTTCTTGAGAAGAAGTCGAATATGTGAAAAATTAACAACGCAGAACGCATGGCGCATGATGACAGACAAATCATGATGGCAATAGGTCACCATGAGCCTTCGGCTAAAAAGAAAAACAGTCGTACAAAATGGCCGACAATGCAGCAAGAAAACAGATTCCAACTTCACGAAAATCCGAGCGACGAGACAAGTGTTCACGCTCTCGAACACATGGAGGAAAACACGGCCGGAAATACGGTCAAAATAAACAAATGACAATACTTAATTTCACAATATAAGTTGGGAGATGGGTTTACAGACTACTAAATGAGTAACAATATACTCAAACGACAATAGCGGTACAAAGAGAAGGAGTAAGAAAAGCACTGAGCTCAGACACCTCCGCAATCGTCAGCAGCCATAAAGGTAAGAGGAAGGGAGATCACTCTGCGTTCCTGCTGTGATGGCTCATGGATCGTAGGGAGGGCGGGATTGTTTCGAATCTTTTGTTGTTGGGATACAAAGATGGGTGTAGGTACTGTATTTGCATACTAAAGTTATGGTAATTATTACTGAAATGAAATGTTATACCTTTCTGATTTTGTGTGTAAGAACAGGAAGCCCAGAGGGCCTGTATCGCTCACCTGGATCTTTATGACCAACTGTACAATATTTGTGCATATGTTCCACAGTAGATGTAAAGCAATATGACAATTTACTCCATATGGGTTCTGTCCCTTAGTAGTCCAAAATAAGACATTTGTATATAAGCCTTTACTGGCCAAATATGATGGGTTTTTGGTTAATCAGAAGAAGCTGATTAATTATTTTACCAAACTTAACACCAATGATCTTAAATATCATTATGGGTCAAGCTATTTTTTCACACACTATGTCGGCACCATTAAGGGAACCTTTTAGACAAATATTATGATCCTAAGCCTTTAGCTTAATCAGTTGTTCAAAGGTTTAACACATTTGACTGTTGTGACCTTGAATATGAATAAATACTTGGTCAAGGTAATTTCTGTTAGCAAACTTTGTAGGACACCATAAGAGGAACATAGTAGCCTAATATAATGATTCTAAGCCTTCTGGTATTTGGGGAGAAGTCGTTTAAAGGTTTTAACACATTTTATCTCTGTGACCTTGAATATGGGTCAAGGTAATTTCTTTTTGCACACTTTGTTGGGCTTTAGCGAAGGAACCTTCAAGCCAAATATAATGATTCTAGGCCTTCTGGTATTTGGGGAGAAGTCGTTTAATGGTTTTAACACGTTTGACCTCTGTGACCTTGAATAAGGATCAAGGTCAATTCTTTTCACAATCCTTGTTGGGCTTTATAACAGGAACCTTTCAGCCAAATATAATGATTCTAGGCCTTCCGGTATTTTATAAGAAGTCGTTTAAAGGTTTTAACACATTTGAACTGTGTGACCTTGAATATGTTGAATATATAACTGACACAAGTTTTACCTGCCAGCCTCAACGAAGAGTCTCTGGTTCTTTTTGTCATAGCCATATCTACGTATGTGGTTGATGGGCCAAACAACTATTTTGGAAGCCTTCCTCTCATTCTCAAACAACGTAACTCTTGTCGTTGAGATTTCCATGACACACTCACCCTGGAAGTTGAGCGTTGAACTCGGCATTAGATAAGTCCGGAATATCCCTGTTTTGGTAAAAAATGCAAGACCTTAGTTTTCATGCTCAGATATTACATATATGCAATTGTATTGGATCCAGTCAATAAGCCCAGCCTGGTAACAAAACCTACCAAACAAGAGATCCCAGAGGGATCTTGGTATCCAACATTGTGTGATCTTTATATGGTCTTTGAAAGTTAGATCTTTTCCCTTCTTTTGTCTTCTCTGTTTTTGCTCTTAATGATAAGACATTTGAACATTCCTTTACAGTAATAGCAATGATAATCTTTACCTGCCAAAGCCAAAATGGCTGTCTGGAAGCTATTTAGTTTTTCTGATCAGCCACAAAATCAAACGAGCAGAAAGAGACCAAAGGGAACATATGTATGAAATTTGAGAGACATCCATTCAGTACTTCTTGAGAAATAGCTATAACAGTCTTTACTCGGCAAAATCCAAGATGGCTGATGCATCTTATATCAGAGAAACAAGCAAGAGAACTGGAACCTGACTTAATGAACATCAGAAAGACATGGAATCCCAAGAAAGCATTACAAGAGGCCCACAGGCTTTAAGGGTCATCTTATTATAAAGACCTATATATGAGGTAGGCCAAATAGGCATAAAATAAATTGCTCAACTACACCACAACTTACATAGATGAAATTGGTTGGTTCATAAAGACATTTTCTGCAAACTTGATATATATTCTTTATAAATGCACTACACAAATGTCATTACTCTTGACATATTGCTTATTGAAAAAGCATGATACAACTTTAATATGAAGACCCTTGGCCTTTTGGTTATTGAGAAGAAATTTCTTACATATTTCATAACATTTGACCCCTGTGACCTTGATGGAAGATCAAAGTGAAAAAACATGGAATCCCTTCATCCCTGCATAGTACAGACCCAATATTAGCACCCTGGACCTGGAGAGTTATTTAAACATTTTAACATTTTTGACCCGTGTGACTTTCAAAGCATGTCAAAGTCATTTATATCAACATGCTAGGTAGCCCTTCATCCTGTCTTGCTACAGGCTAAATATCAGTACCTTGAGCTTTTCGATTATTGAGAAGAAGTCACTTGAACGGAAAGTTTACGATTGGTAGATGGCACGTGACGACAGACAAAACATGATGGCTATAGGTTATCCGGAACCATACAGGATGACCTAAAAATTCAATAGATCAGAGCAAAAACATTCACAGTCCCAGATCAGTAAACCTGCACTTACAGATCATTCCACAAAATCATATCAATGACTGGGAAAACCACATTTTCAGGCAGCTGGTTAAAGAAGCCATCTAGATACACCACAGTGGGACAGTACTTAATAGGGATGAAGGGGGCCACAGACTTTCATACAAATGTATGACCAAGTGTTAAAGCGTAGCCGAATTGACTACAGCACATAGTCACCATCAGGTGGGGTTTTTTTTGTCTATAATCTGTTAACCATCTCATCACAATATTTTCAACCTTGATGTACATAGGATTATAGTACACAAAAAAATTAGGTTGATTCTGTACCATCTCCCAATCAGTACTATTATGCCCCACACTGGTCATTTGTCTGATGAAAGTGACTGTGTAGTCATCAAAATATCATACTAATCTCTTACTGGTTTTGTTATATGAACTTCTATTCTACAAAAATATTGATTATATCATTATTATGCTCATCAGGCAAATTAAGCTTTTAAGTCATTTAACTGAACATTTCTTGCTAACCGTAATATATCTATAATGAAAATTATTCTAATTTAATCAGTTGCTTTGCAACAATTCTAACTTTGATCCTAATGGTGATTAGGAAATCTGCTTACCACCTGGCATTGAATCTCTCCGTCTTGCAGATATATGTAGGCTTTGTAAGAGGTGCAACCATTCTTTGGCTTCTTCATCTATAAGTACAGCAAAGCAAATGTACAGTGATTAGTATTCTAATATATATACATTTTTCAACCAATTACAATAATGAAATATAAACTTCTTTTACAACATTGGTGAAATAAGCTTTCAGCTTACATTAATAACTCCAAAATCAAAGCACTAGAGGGGACTAAATGTGGTGGAAAACATCTCATCTGGCTAATTCAGGCTAAGTCATTTAACTGAACATTTCTTGATGACCATTCACCTCAGTGGAGCAATGAAAATTATTGGCTAATGCCACATCTGTAGAACCACCTAGATGTATCATTCATGTACAAGTTTAAATCCTTTAACACTGTTAGTTTTCCAGATATGAATATATGATATACAATAGTTTTCCCAAAGGAAACAAAATTGTATTGTTACATGGAACTTCCTCAAATGATGAATGTGTTATTTGATGTATTACAGGAAGTATTCACTATTGATTAATTATAGCACTATGTTGAGCCCCTCTAAATAAAGCAGACCATTTGTTGACTTTTGTGATAATTACTGACTTCTATGATAATGAAGTTTTTGTAATGTAAGGTCAATACACCTCTTTTGATAGTCCAATTACGAATCAAAGTTTATATACTGTATTACCCTTCATGTTCTCATAGGATGTGAGAAATTCTGAAGGGGAACAACTCTCAATAGTTATATTCTAGAATAGTAGTTCTTATCTCCATGGTTACAAATATGGAAAGAAAAACTATCATTCTATTAGTATTGACAGATTATTTCTCTAGTGTTTCAGTAATTAACCCTGTATATGCAAACATAAACTGTGTCTAAATTATTGCATTTCAGACTCAATGTAGCTTGGGTTGGGCATACTACAGAACAAGGATGTGATAACGTTAGTTAAAGGTATATATTTTAAAACTACAATAAATGCAGGTGGGCTTATTACCACATAAGTATAGCAATTCAGCAAATTCAGTCTGGCCCCCACAGAATCTGAAATTTAATATGCCAAGCATAAACAGTTAAAGAATCCATGCAGGAACTAACTCTACACATGGAGGTATATTTGATAGTTCCACCATATTCAATAAGGAAACGTGTCAGTTACAAATAAATTTCCTGAATGTATACTGTTAAGTTGTGCCATTTTCGTAAATAATCTCATCCTGTGACACCAATGGTACAGCATTTCATTATTAAGACGATTTGGTTGTATAAATGTGAAGAAATTTAGTACAAAATACATAACACTAATTTCAGAAGTCAAAACGAATAGCAGTATTACCAATTTCAATTTGATATCACCTGTTTTACACATGAACTGTTTCGATGTGTGATCATTCATTTGTAGCACTATGCCAAAAGCCCCATCTCCCATCCTTACAATGGTGTTGATTTCTATGAGATTAGTGATAGACAAGGGTTCATCTCGGCGAGCCTTCCATTCACTTTCGTATTTGATGAGACGAGTAGGACCCTTACTAGAAGCCTTAAACAAGGCTAGCCACCGTCTCTTCTTTGACTGAAAAATTTTAATGAATACATTGAGAACACTGATTTACTAGAAACAAGAATTCTACAGAAGTGGATGTGTTTCTTGCCCAGTAAGGTTTGTGGAGATGTGTTTTATGGAACAATAGCCATAGATATTCATTGTATTTATTCAATTCATATCATTTGTTCATTTATTTGATAAGTGATGAGTAAACTTGCAGATTAGATGTATAGTGTAGAAGGGAACTCAATCCCAAGGCTAGATCTGTATATCACAATTACGTGCAGAATTCGAATGAAAGAAAACTCAAAATAGGGCAGGAACTGGGAAAAAAAACTTGTAAAGCAATCTCAAACAAGCCCCTTTGGTTAAAAATCATTGTATGAAATTTGAGTCTAATTATTCAAAGAAAACTCGAGTAATCACACGAATCCAATTTTCTTTTCACAGCTACACTGACCTTGACCTTTGACCTTTTCAACCTTTAGTAAAGTTATTGTGCAAAAACAAAAACTCCATTTATAGTAACAGTGAATTTGATGTTTGACTTGCTACCCTAAAAAGCATTCTCAAGCAAACCCCAAAGAAAACTCAAGTTATCGCATGAAAACCAACCTAATATATATAACACTGTCTTGACCTTTGACCTTCAAACCTCCAAAGCATTTCCAAGGAAGCAATTTTGGTAAGGAAACACTGTATGGAGTCTGATGTCGATCAGCTAAAGTGTACTGAAATACTTGCAAAAAAAAAAATTTCCTACTTATAGTGATAGTGACCTTGACCATTGACCTTTGTACCTGAATAGCAATTGCTAGCAAGCCTTCTTTGTAAAGAAGCATTGTATGAAGTTTGAGTCTGACTGTGAATTCAAAGTTATTGCAAAAAAAAAACCTAAAACATAAAATCTATAATGAAACATTTTCATGAATAATAGCATATATTAGGATATTTTTGTGCAGTGCATATTTCCCGAAAATCATGTAATGTTTCTTTTGCAATTTTTGCTTATTTCATTTTTAACGATTTCATAGTCTCAGAAATTAAGAAGGCCTCTCTTGAAGGCTTTATATACTTCAGAATGATCATAGCTTACATCAGTGTAGATTCTTACATTAACTGGAAATTTAACTGACAAGTCATACTAGATAAGAGATTTATGTACTGACTAGTACTCATTTATTATAAAGGTATACTGCATTAAGATATATCATCTAAATAGATGTAATATTCATGCGGTTACAATAAGAATGAACAAAAAAACATGTAAATTTCGTGATTTCAAATTTTTGTGATTTTGAAAGGGTCGCTAAAATTGGCAAAAATTAGAAACACGCAAAAATATCCTATACAGTATTTGTTAGTTAATTTAGGATACAGAAGAACTTGATATATCAACCAGTAATTGATGTATATCTCAAGGGAATATTTTTTAATTTAAATTCAGTGCTGAGGATAAAATAAGAACCTTCATATATTAGTGATTTTTGTTTCAATTCTTTATATGCAAGTCCAAAACACAATTTCGGATATTTTGATGAGCCTGTGACTAAAATATCTCAGGGTTAAACGTCACTGTGTAATAGATGTGTCATTTTTAAGTGACTATAAAATGGAAAACTTCAGTGTTTTAGGTCCATTCATATAAGTAACTAACAATATAGGTCACAGAAACTTTTAATTTTGCCAAAAATGTCCTTCATAAACTAAGGCAATTTGTGATTATTCTCTCTGGTCAAATTTCGAAAACATTGAATTGAAATGTATATTATGACTTTGATCTGTGACCTTGTCTTTCTTCCACATCAAAAGCATTTTGCCTTTCTTGACCATTTGCAACTTCTGATAAAAAATAAGTTATTAGAATAAACAAGAGGCTCCAGAGTAGGTGAGAGATATATATACATATATGTGGGTCTTAAATTTGGCCTCTACCTATCACCAGTCTTCCAAGATATTCATATAGAAGGTGAAAATTATTATTCAATCACTATATTGAATTTGGGTTCAAAATGTCAAAGGTAAATATCAGGGTGTAATTTTTGTATCAAGATTCTGCCTAGGCTCCAATATAAAGAGAATACATGGTCAGTATCGTACAATACAAGGTTTATTTTTGACGAGGGTTAGAAAAGGCTCGCCATCTCAGTCTTTTCGTTCCGAGTCAAAAATAAACCTTGTATTGTACGATACTGACCATGTATTCTGTTTATCCTGCAACCATTTTTCAACAATGTTTACATAAAACGAGTACAGCGCAATATTGTTTACCTTTGCTTGTACTGAAGCAGCGCCCTCACTTCGACGCGCAAGAAGATTTCCATCCATAAAAAGCGCATTTACCCCTTTTGAAAATATCAATGTGCAATGAAATATAGTTCTGTTTGTTGAAAAATGGTTGCAGGATACATGGTCAGTATCGTACAATACAAGGTTTATTTTTGACTCGGAACAAAAAGACTGAGATGGCGATCCTTTGGCGTTAGCATGACACAATAGGTCAAAGTTCAGGTCAACTTGAAAATAGTCCGGTGAAAATCGGAACAACTTCATGTGAATCGTATTGACGGATAAAGCACTTTGTACTGACGGATAAAGGTACTGGTTTATCTGGCAGTAGTTATCAGCTGATACACGAAGCGGTTGTAGGATAAAATTAATTATTAATATTGAGGAAATTCTTTAAAGGAAAAATAAACATAAAACTGTGTTGTTCCAATGAAACATACTCCAAACATTTTCTTGCTCTTCATTTCAACGTAACCTTGTTTGATTACAGTTGTGGAGTTCACTCCTGAACTGGAAGTTTCTTGTGAATCAGCCATTTGCATGCTGTTTTGATCTTCTGACTAACTTATGAAAGCTTGATTCTACAAACAGTAAAAATGATGAATGAGGTTTATTAGACACAACATTTCCATCAATGCCACACAACAAGTTTCATGACTCTTACTAAAACTCTCCTGGTAAATATACCAGTAGTTTGTCAGCTGTTAGTAACACTTAAAACATGCAGCCAATATCTATGTCTTTTCTCTTACACTTTTTCATCAATATACTTATCATACTATAATGAATATTAATGTAATTTGATTACTGATCACAATTACTCTAAAATATGGAAGGTTTTACCATTACAAGCAGGGAGACACCATATGTAAATGAAATGGATATATATGTGCTAAAATCTTAACACTAACAGAGTAGTCACTTCTAATATATGTACACATTGAACACAATAAAACTAGTGACAATTATTGTTGTCACAATCACTGCAGGAGTACATGGATTCCTATATCTTGCATGGTTAACTTTGAGAAAAATGTGTGGCTATATCTGGTAAATAGAGAGAACATACTTGTACCATTAAACTGTTATTGACTCATAACTGACCTAGTCCAAAGAATCAGACACTGTCTATCTGCTGTTCTATTTTTGTCTTGGTCCATTAACAACCAAGAACAAGACAGAAATGAAATCGTGAACAGATAGTCAGAACCCTTCAGACTAAACAGACCATGGTCACATATATAACTGTATTTTCTGTATAAATGCATGACACATGATAGAGATAATACCCCCAGTACTTTGGTGTACCAGAGCAAATTAGGGTGTTATCGACTCCTGTCAATTATCAACCATTTCCCACATAAAAGCTTTATTAAAATTCACATGGTCATTACCCTGCCCGTCAAACACCAATATAGCCGAGAAACACTTTTTCGGAATATCTTTTGACTTTATGTTAGATTGTCTTGAGCTTTGAATTGCAGAGAAATAACCTAGATCGAAGTTGAGTAGAGGCGAATGTCTGGATCAACGTCAGCATTACGGAGGAGGTTAACGTGTAAGTATTATCGCGTGGGCCCTTTTACAATTATTTAAAAGATAGTTTTTTTCATTTTTGCATAAAAAACACTATTGTACAAACATTGTTTTTAAGTTACAAATGAAAATTAGTTGGTTTGAAAACGTCTGAACTTGATAGGAGGTGGGTCAATAATACCCACACAGAATCCTTTATTCTTGATATTATCGACCCTCTGTGAATTAAACATCAAAGCTTGAATGTGTCGCCAAGGTTACCAAACAAAGTTACATCAAATAGTACGTATAACCCATTGTGAATTATATGGGATAATGTAGTGCAGTGGTAGAACACTCGCTTTGTAACATTATAACACAGTTGATAGAGTTTCGACTCCTGAAAGTGGAAGATGTTTTTTAATTTTTTACCGGGACAATGAATGAAATAGGTTTTTCATTTACAAACTGCATATATATATTTTACATGTCTGTGGGTTGCTCCCTATTGAGTTTCATGTTAAAATGTGAAAGGTTACGAGGTGCAATCCAGTAACATATAAAACTGGTGCCTAAGTATAGATGAGTTAGTAAGGAGGTGAACATATATGTTTTACAGTCATTTCTATGCTATCAGAAAATATATCGTTTTATTTCTCTTTCAGGTCATGGCATCTCAAATTAACGTAAAGAGAAAAAGAGTTCAATACTCACCAGAAAATATGGCTCAAGCGATTGCAGCTGTTAGAAGTGGTATGTCAAAGCACAGTGCATCAAAATTATACTCGGTACCCAAAACAACACTTTTGGACACACTAGCAAAAAGAGTACCAGAAGCACCAACAAAACCTGGTCCTAAACCAGTCCTTACAAGAACAGAGGAAGGTACTCTTGTGAATTACGCTAATCTAATGGCCAAAATAGCATACCCAATTACACGTGGAGAGAACATTGTTTTGAAGTTAAGCGGTTGATTGACATTGATGGCAGAAAAACACCATTCAAAAACAATTTACCAGGTCACGACTGGTATACTGCGTTCATGAAGCATAATCCAACCTTAACAGAACGGATACCCCAAGCCCTTGAACATGAACTTGCAGCGATCTCGATGCCAATGATACAGGCCTGGTTTGACGGAGTGTCCATTTCCCTGAAAAAGGAAGTTCCAAATTGGGAACAAATGATGAGAAACCCCAGAGGAGTGTTTAATGCTGATGAGTCGGGCTATCCACTGTGTATAAAGTTGGGAAAGGTACCCAAACAGGGTCAAAGCATGTATATCAGGTTGCTGCAAATAACAAACAACAAATAACGGTGATGGCATGTTTCAACGCATTGGGAGACATGTTCCCCTTTTTATTGTCTTTCCGGGACAACATTTCGGGGACACAGGGATCAACAACTTCCCTGATGCCATTTACTCACATTCAGAAAATGGGTGGATGAACCATGAACTATTTCTCAGCTTTCTTGAGATTTTCAGTGACATTGTGGAAGAAAAGGAAATAGAACAAGAGGCCCAAGGGGCCTTAATGGTCACCTGAGGAATATATGTCAATAATCTGGGGATTTTAAAATGTTGCAAAAATGTAACAATACTTGTGCAGGACCGTGTGTAAAACATCTGTACCAAATTAGAACATGATCCACCCAGTGGTTCTTGAACGTTACCTAATTTTACCCCTTTTTACCCCCTCCTGTAGCCCCTTTTGGAACCACACCCTTTTCTTTTGCCAACTTGATGCACATACTATAGGGATACTTTGTGCCAAATTTGGTTGATATCCATCCAGTGGTTCTTGAGAAGCAGTCAAAAATGTAAAAAAGTTAACGACGCACAACGGACAACAACAGACAAATCATGATGGCAATAGGTCACCATGAGCCTTTGGCTCAGGTGACCTAAAAAGTTAACGATGCATGAACTTAATCTCACTGTTGGTGCAAGCGAAGAAGATTTTTAAAGATTTACCTAATTTTACCCCCTTTTCCCTCTCCTGGGGTCCCTATTGGGGCCACGCCCTTTTCTTCGCAAACTTGAAACGGCTTCCCATGGGGATGCTTTGTGCCAAGTTTGGTCAAAATCCATTCAGTGGTTCTTGAAAAGAAGTCATTTAAAGTAGGTTTTTACATATGGCCCCTTTTACACCCCTTATGGGCCCCAAAGGGGACATTATCACTTTTTTCAACTTAATTTCATACGTCCTTCTCTAAGGGATGCTGTCTACTAAATTTGGTTGAAATCGGTCAAAGTTGAATTTTCGACCCTTTTGAGCGCCCACTAGGCCGCTTTTTTTACCCAATTTTTTTTCATTCACAAACTTTGTAGACCTTGTCATAAGGAGCCTAAATATCAAATATGAACTTAATCTGACTGTTGGTTCATGAGAAAAAGATTTTTAAAGATTTACCTAATTTTACCACCTTTTTCCCCCTCCTGCGGCCCCTATTGGGGCCACACCCTTTTTCTTCGCAAACTTGAAGTGGCTTACCATGGGGATACTTTGTGCCAAGTTTGGTCAAAATCCATTCTGTGGTTCTTGAGAAGAAGTCGAATATGTGAAAAGTTAACAATGCACGACAGACGACAACAGACAAATCATGATGGCTCAGGTGACCTAAAAACCCGTAATTCTGTTTGTAGACAGACACAGCATGCATATAACAGCAAATGTGGCAAGGTTTTGTGCAGAACATAACACCATTTTATACTGCCTTCTTCCAAACACTATGCATATAATGCAAGCCTGCAATATTGGGTTCTTCTGGCCAATGAAGTCTGCATGGAAGGCCAATGTGAAACAGTGGCAGATGGAACACTTGGGTCAGGCTCTTACCAAATGTGCGTTTCCTGGGGTTTTTCAAACAAGCTTGGGACACCATCTCCATTGCAGCACATGCCTTTAAACGGGCCGGTCTATTTCGGTTCTCATCGAAAGGTAACGACAAAAGCAAACTTGGACCATGTACAATAATGTCGCCAACGAAGGAAATCATAAAGGGTGTAGATGCAGAAAATAATGATGGAAAAGAGTGAAAAGGAAATGGGGAAAGAGTAATGACCATAGATGAAAGTGGAGACAAAGAGAATGTATCTGTGGAGAGAAAGATTTGCGTGGCCAAGGAGAGTGACAATGGTGTTACTATCGATATAAACATAGAGAATGTGGATGGGTCAAGTGTTGGCGTATCAGGGGATGAGATTAACAAGAATGTGACTGTAGAGTTCAATAAGGAGAATGAGCACGTAGTGATAGCTGATGTTCATGTATCAAGTTCAGTTATAGAAATCACTTTGGGAACACTTAGTACAAGAGACGAGAATTCTGTGTCCAGTGTGTTTGATACATTGGTGATTTCTAAGGTCAAACAAGGAAAGAGGAAACTATGTGAAAAGGCCAAACTGCCAAAAGCTCTTTCAGGGCACGGCACTCTAAAGACGTTTAATGAGAGGGAAGATAGGAAAATAGAAGAAGAATGGAAAAGAAAGAGAGAGCAGAGACAAGATTAAAGAACAAACAAATGAAAGAAGCTGAAAGCCTGAAAAGAAAGAAATTAAGAGAGAAGAAGGCAAAGGAAACGGCCATTAGAAAGCAGTCAGTAAATCATAAACTAACTGACAGGAAACTGATTGAAGATACAGACAGTTATGAAGATTTTGAGGAAGAGCTGGAGTCAGAAATGTTTTGCCCGGGATGCCAATCAACTGGGGAAAATCATCAGAATGGGTCGGGTGTTATACCTGTAGTCTGTGGTGGCACATCCTCTGTAGCAATGACGCAGCATTGGTGAATCTGTATACAAACTCAGATATACAAAATTACAAGTTTACTTGTGAATTTTGCAAATACCTTTGATGCTTTAATAAGCTTTCTACGGAAAGTATAGAATCTAACATTCATGTATACTAATTAAGGTATTCAGCCCGTAAAGCCTTTTAAGAGGGACAAAACCAAAAATCAAAATTTTCACATTATTCATAAAGATCACAATGTATACTCCATTACTGACCATATTTATCCACAAGTTTTTTTCATCTAACAAAAATTTAAGTACTTCAATGGTGTCACATATCATGCTGGTTGGATACAATAAAAATATTAGTGTATGCCCAGTAAAAAACTTAATTTCAAACAAAAACATGTGTTTTTACATACGATAATAACAGCAATGAATAATAAAATAGCTGCTATTCATATCACATTCATATACAATGTACGATATGCGAAAAAGTGTTATCTCGGTAGCCTCGTCACTCTTAGAAAAGTGACAAAGACACTTTGTAAAGTAAACTAAGCGTGACAAGACAGTTTTCAAATGAAAAATCTGTTTAAATACTTGCTGGCACACCTGCAAATTTTCAAATAACTTTTAGAAACTTTTACCACATGTAATTAGATATTTTTACATTAGATAAATTTTAATACCCCTACCCCCTTAATTTCGATGACTCATTAGATTTCAGGGAAAATTGCATACAATAGCATCATGGCCAAACAGACTATAAATACAAAACTCTTTGAAGGCTACAAGTAAAAAAGTAATAAAAATAATCTATTTCTGATATGTTCTTATCTTGACCTCTGACCTCTGACCTTGACCCGGATTATGACCACATAATTCATTATGTAACAAAAACGATTATGAAATCAAGTCCTTTTTTTCACAAAAAAAAGTTTTACCATTATTGTTGATACACTATTACGTTTCGCCTAAATAATCTGTATTCAATCTGCAAGATTATGTAACCGAGGTAGCCTCGTTTTTATTCTAATAAACAGCATGGCAGCAGCATGTTCGTCTGTGTTTACTCCCAGCTAACAACTCGTCAACATGGTGGCAGCATCGATGAGAACTGGGTAAAATGGATCTAAAACGTACTGTAAGTGTACCAGATTGTTCATGATCCCCCCTACAAGCAGTCATGGCTTCTAATAACGCCGATATGGAAAGGGAAAACGCTGAGCATGGTCAAGTCGCCCCTCACGCTCCACATGTTCAACAGATCAACACAAATTTGAGATTACCCCCTGAACTGAATACTCACTCAGGTAATGTGTCTGAAAACTTCAAAACGTGGCGAAGGCATGTTGAAATATATCTAACGGCTAGTGGTATAGCGACAATGGGAGCGAACATTCAAACGGCAGCAATTATAAACTGTGGTGGTGAGGCACTATTAAAGGCATATGATCATTTCACGTGGGAAGAGGGTAAAGACAAGAATAACCCTGTGCATGTATTTGACAAAATCCGTGATTACTGTAATCCACGTCAAAATGAAGTCGCTGAATCTCACAAGTTCTGGACCTGTCAGTATTTTGATCCCTTTGACCAATTCTTAACAGAGCTTCGTTCACGCACAGCGTCGTGCAATTTTGGTACACAAGAAGATCGAATGACCGTTGGCTTCACACATTGAATGAAAACAAAAACAAAAGAATAATTACCGCTACGATGTCCGTAAATGATACAGCAGTGAGTTTTCAGTTAGATAGTGGTGCAGATGTAAACACCATTAACCAATGCTTTGTACGCAAGGAACAGGTTCACAGAACACATCTGACACTACACATGTTTAACAACACCACTCTCGAACCCTTGGGTGAGACCGAACTCTTAGTAAGGAACCCTAAAACCAATGAAGCACATTTAGTGAAATTCGTGGTCATACCGAACAAACTGCAAAATATTTTGGGCCTGAAATCGATACAAATGCTTGGTCTGGTAACCGTAAACAAGGAACGCTTTGTCGGAAGAATTGGGACTTCGGTTAGTGAACTTGGTGACCTAGGGGAGGCAACTCTAGCGCTCGACCCCAACATTAAGCCTAAGGCACTACCATGTCGGAAACTCCCAATTGCACTCCAGGACCAGGTCAAAGCGGAATTGGACAGTCTTGTGGATAGGAAGATCCTAATACCTATCACCAAACCCACTGCATGGGTAAATCAAATGGCTGTGGCCCACAAGGCCAATGGGAAATTGAGGATATGTTTAGACCCTCAAGTACTGAATACAGCTCTACAGAGGGAGCATTACAAGCTGCCCACACTGGATGATGTTCTTCCAAAACTGAACAATGCTCGCATATTCAGTAAACTGGATGTTAAGGAAGCCTTTTGGCACATAAGACTCGATGAAAAATCTAGTGAGTACACTACCATGATCACACCATTCGGACGCTACAGGTGGGCACGACTTCCTTTTGGCTTAAAGGTATCAAGCGAGATTTTTCAAAGGAAACTGAATGAAGCACTCGAAGGACTCCAGGGTATCTTCCCGATAGCTGACGATATAATTATCGCGGGAAAGGGCACAACCGACGAGATAGCCCTGAAAGATAACGAGCAGAAACTGAAAATACTCTACGAGCGGTGTCATGAAAGGAACATCGTACTAAATGAAGAAAAAAAGGCAACAGGCCTAAAGGAAATAATTTTCCACGGATATACTATTACTGCTGACGGCGTCAGAGCCGATCCTCAAAAGATTGAGGCTATTCTCAAAATGGCCAGTCCTACAGACGTAGCGGGTGTACGTCGATTTTGTGGTATGGTACAGTACATGGCCAGATTTCTACCCTCTCTTTCTACTTTAATGGAACCTCTGCGTGAGTTAACACGAAAAGACTCTGATTTCAATTGGACGTCATCTCATGAAGTGTGTTTTGGTAAGGTGAAACAGGCTCTTACCTCGACACCGATCTTGGCTTACTATGACCCTGACGAAGAACTGGTAATACAAGTGGTAGCAGCAAAGATGGGATTGGAGCGGTTATGATGCGAAACGGGAAGCCTGTTGAGTATGCATCCCGTGCCCTTACTTCTTGTGAAAGGAAGTGGGCTCAAATTGAAAAGGAGGCTCTTGCTACTCTGTACGGAGTCGAACGTTTTAACCAATATACATATGGGCGCAAGGTGATTATAGAAAATGATCACAAGCCTTTGGAGTCAATCTTAAAGAAACCTCTCAGTTCTGCTCCTAGGAGACTACAAGACATCATAATGAAGCTCTACAGGTATGATGTCGAGTTCCAATTTCTCAAAGGCACATCGCTAGTCATTGCTGACACGCTAAGCCGAGCATTCCTGGATGAGGCAAGACAGCGGATCATGAACATAAGAGTTCATGAAGATATACCTGATGTGCGACTTGAGGAAATACGCAAGACAACATTGGCCGACCCAGAGTTGCAGGTGCTAGCTGACGTCATAACTACAGGATGGCCAGACACCAAGGAGAAGGTCCCAAGTACATGTAAACCTTACTATGATATTAGAGACACACTAGGTATTGTTGATGGCTTGGAAGTGAAGGGAGAAGCTGTTGTGATCCCCAAAGCCCTCAGATCCGACATCAAATTAAGATTACACAAATCACATGCAGGATTTGACTCAATGATGAGGAGAGCAAAGGGTACTGTATATTGGCCCTCTATGAAGAGCGAGATCAAGCAAATGGCGGAAACATGTGAGGCTTGTCAAGAAATGGCGCCAAGATCTGTCAAACCTCCACTAAAACAACACTATGATGGAGATTCGCCATGGAGCAAAGTAGGCCTTGACCTTTTTGAAATAAAAGGAAGACAGTACCTGGTAACTATTGACTACTATAGCAATTATATAGAGGTTGACTACCTCTCATAGGTGACCTCTACTGGAGTGGTGAACATCTTAAAGAAACAGTTTGCCCATTTTGGAATCCCAAAGACAATTGTGTCTGATGGTGGCCCGCAGTTCACATCAAAGGAATTCCAACTCTTTACAGATTTATGGGGTATAAGTCACGTGACATCATCTCCACAGCATCAACGTGCAAATGGTAAGGCAGAATCAACTGTTAAAGTGATCAAACACATCATGCTAAAATGTGAAAGAAACAAGGAGGACCAATGCGAAGCTCTGATGGAACAGAGGAATGTTCCAAGACAGGATACAGGACTAAGTCCAAGTGAGATGCTTTTCGGTCGTAAGACGCGCACGCTTCTTCCTCATTTACCCCGTGCTCTCAATGATGAGGATATGACCAGGAAACGCGAGCAGCGAAAGAAAAGTGTGAAGCGTTATTATGACAAAACAGCTCGCGATTTACCATGTGTTTCGGAAGGAAAGAGTGTGTATTTCCAGCACAAGGAACATGAGCGGTGGATCCTAGGGCGCGTAATAGAATGCAATAGTGATCGTACTTACATGATACAGGCTCAAAGTGGTGCAATCTATCGCTGAAACAGAATGCATCTCCGTCCTACAGCGGTGGAAGCAGTTATCCGCGATAACTCACCATGTACACGTCGTCAGGGTAACCAAATAAATAACACGCCTGTATCGAGAAACATTCTGGTATCACCGGGACGGAAAACATTAGAACATGATGATAAGTATGTACATGTTTCAAGCGAAGAGATCGTCAAGACGAAGACTGAAACAATGGAACAAAACAGTATGGAACCATTACCTGTTAAAGTGGAACAATCTGACGTCACTGTGGTTCCAACGCGTCGCTCAGAGAGAACACGAAAGGAACCGACCTATTTTAAAGACTTTGTGCGCTACTAGTAAATTTGACTGGTTCCTAAAATCGTGAACATTTATGTCAGCTATAGTTATAAGAGTTCTTTCCAGTGTTTTGATAAGGGCAAATAAGTTGATTGAAACATCTGAAATAGTTTGAAAAAGCGTTTATTTAGTTAATATGTTACAGAGTTTATTGAACATTTTGTTATCATTTCACTGCCAGTAGAATTAATTATTTTAGAGAAGTATCTGAAATAAGTCTTTTCAGAATATTATTTTACATCACTTGGCAACTCAAACTCTAGTCATAAAGACTCTATCAACAATATACATGTACAGCATAGTATGGTGATTTGATAATAATATCCAAAGTATTAACTTTTCTTAAAGAAAGAGGGATGTTGATACACTATTACGTTTCGCCTAAATAATCTGTATTCAATCTGCAAGATTATGTAACCGAGGTAGCCTCGTTTTTATTCTAATAAACAGCATGGCAGCAGCATGTTCGTCTGTGTTTACTCCCAGCTAACAACTCGTCAACAATTATAGATATATAAAAAGTTCATTTTTATCCTACTTTTTTGGAATTACAGAATCCATAAAACGTTTTGCATAAGAGATCCGCGATTGTCCATTACAGTTCTTTTGCACAAATATTGCTCTCAGACCATCTTCACCATACCTTTGAAATATTTTTTAGATGTTGGAAGTTTAAGCCAGAGCCTGAAATATTTTCAGCAGTAGCATGTTTTCAAATGCCCTGTGATATCAAAGGATGTAAGGAAGGCATATTTTTTGCCTTTTCCGTGCTGAAATTAAGGGCATGAACGTCAACTCTTCCGAAAATTCACGATCTATAAAACATCAGCATTTGTCTGGATTATAACTGGAAGTGGTCCATTAGGGTAGGAATACCGTAAGGATTGTTGTGTTTTAAGTTACACACCTTCTTTGCCCAGTCAGTGTCAAATAGATATACTTTTAATATAGATCTATATGTGCGTTTACTGCTTTAGTATGAATTATGTAGATGATTTGAATGTTGAATTTTCACTTTGTATATAAATCAGGTTGCTGAAGTACAGACATAAAGAAAATGGTCTATTGGTATTTCATCTTTAGATAGAAAGACATCTATGATTGCAACCTATATCATGTAAGGTGATTTTATCGTTCATCCGTGTTGAATTTATACAAATAAAGCAGAATAGAGTTCAGTTTTAAATATTTGTTTTGATGGTCTATAATACCCTGTTGTGGTCGATAATGCCCAAAGTAACTTAATCATAAACATAGAGGTTACTTGAAGGTCAGAGTACTTTAGTATGATTAGATGGAATTGAAACAACAAACCTAGAGCTACTTCACCTCTTTATCGTGAATAGGGAGTCACTTGACGACACAAATTTTAGAAATAAGAAAATGTGTATTAAATGGCCAATAATACCCCAGTTTGCTCTACTAAGGAGATTTTACCAAAGAGTTGGAAAAAACCCTTTCCAGAGAAATCTATATGAAATACTTCGCTTTGACCATGTTATGGGCCTGGTTATATCAGTGATGACTAGCTAGGTAGATCTAGTCAGTACATAACACACATGTTAAAGTAGCCTGTCTGCTTGTTTCACTTGCATTGCAGGTTTATCATGTTACAGATGATGTTTGTTTATGAGTTTCAACTTAACATTTGAAATTATCACATTTCATCATGACAGGATGTTTACAAGACATGATATTCTTTCATAATGCCATCCTTTGATTAGAAAAAGAAATATAAAGAATGCTTTGTATTTGTTTACAAAAATTGATTGCTGATAAAATCTATCAAGATCAATAAAAACCTTTACAAAGACTTATTTGCATAAAAAGATCATTGATTATAAAAGGACTTTTTAAGCTTAGTTAACTTTCAGAGCTATATCGTCTCATCATTTTTACTTATTTATATATTCTAGAGCTGTTGTTATGTCAACAATTTTTCATTCATTTTAATTAAAATCTGCTCTAGTTAATTTCAAATTAACGCAGCTTTTAAAATCTCGATAGTTTAAGCATCTTAGTCCGTGGGTTAAGGACTGTTGTGTTGGTTAAATTTGCTGGGAGCATCAATTGCAAATTTCAAACAACGCACAATGAAATCTAACCAGACTAAGAACATAATTATGTATAGCATATGCAATACCTGATATACAGCTTTTTAAACATTTAAACATTTAAACAGTTGTCAAAACCCGCGCAGACTACAAATAAACCGGGTGCTCTCCAATGTTTTCTAAACATCATAACAGTTACTGAAGCATGTAAGATCCTACATTTGTCTACGTTCACTGACAGCTAGCGACTTGGTGTTATGCTACCTTTTTCACCTATGAGGCTATGTACTATCTCGTATCCTCCAGGTCATTGACTGGTCAACTGCTGTTTCCTACGTATAGCTAATCACAACAACCCTGAACAGTATTTTTCACTTTACATGGCCTCATCAGTCCCTATCAAATCAATCAATCAAAAAACTTGATATCATGTGACTGCTGATGACAAAACATGTACAATATAACCGCTTATCTGTCACCAATTACAGACTTCTTGCACCTTCTCACATACTTTCGACCTATGGTCGTCGTCTGATAAGTCTCATGTCGCAAACTTTTGGGAAGGTATGCAAACGAATAAGACAGGTGTTTGTAATCACCACTTACCTGTTATCTTCTAGCTGACGTAGATCTTCTGGCTACATATCGCTGACATATTACACACCTGCATTACTCCTGGTAATGGTTTACGTACCAACTTAGCTTTTGTAATGTTGCTGTCCGTATCTGAATACAGGTACCGACTATAGTCTGTTTCAATATTTGGAGATAAACTACACTGCGGGGTTCGATGTTCAATAGACACAGAAATGGGCTTTATTCTTTTCTGTTTGTTTTTTCTGTGTGGTACATGATTTTGCATTAAAAGATCTTTCATGAACAAAAATTGAAAAGATCAACTAAAGACAAAATGTGGAAAAAAGGATGTACAAAAAGATAATTGAAGACAAACAAAAATCTTCGAAGGATCATATCAGTCTGTGATTGGTCATCTTCTTTCTCCTGAAATCTGCTCTAGACCGATGAAATTACTTCGCTTGTGCCTTCAATTTTGTCCTAAAATGTTTCAGTGGTGCAGGGAAAGAAAATGATTGTAACCTTTGATGTACCAAGGATGATATCAAAATAATCAAGCAAACAACTTCATTCACAAATAAAGTATGAAATTTTAAAAGTTAAGTTTAACCGTTTTATTTTAGTATATTTGACTCATATGACCTTAAAAGTAGGCCACACTATGTCAATTGGAACTTTGATAGCCTTTCGCCTTAGTGCGCTGCCGGACAATTTAGTCAACATACAAAAAAATCCACTGCTGCAATATTTGCTTAACTAGTCAGCATGATGTTTTGATCAAATAACATTATTGCCTCACATGTTTTAGGCCAGAAGTATTAGAATATCTAAACAACCAAGACATTCAAGTATCATGTTTGGCAAGTTGCTGGGTTTCATTTTATATTTGTGTTTACCAGCCATCTGACAACCAAGTTCATTTCAGAACAAACTTAACAAATGAGTCTGCACTGAAACCTGTGGTGTTTGTGCTTGCATTGGTTATACTAGTAAAGGTCAAATTTTCATTTTTTAAAAATTTCTTTTGAATTTCTTGCAGATTTTTCATCCTCTAAATTTCAATGGCCTTTTTTTCAGAAAAGTAGCAAGTTCATGATGGTTGCAAAATGAAAAAAGGTATGAAAGGTAAATCCTTGAATATAATTAACTAATTGGGAAATAGCTCCTTTTAAATAGATTTTGAATAGTGTGATGAGACACTGATTTTTTTTAGATGTGCCTAGCAAACTGATTTTATTCAGGATAATTTTGATCATTTTATCAAAAGTTAGACAGAAAAAGTCAGAGTCACAAAAGAAAGAAAATGAATACTTTCACAGGTCGGGAAACAAACCTCAGGCATCAAAGCTATTTTGTATATCAGAAATAGCTATTACTTCACATATAAAATTCTGAATGCTACATAGCTCTAAAACTGTGTTGATGAAACTTTGGTAGAAAGACAAGAATGATCCAAGACTTAACTTTATAACGACAGTCCTAGCCTGAATCATTAGAAAAAAACAAAATGTCTTAAATTGTTATCAGATTAAAATCAAAGTAGTAAAATTTAATGATCATCAGACAATATCAAAGGCTATACTTGTCCATTATGTTAAGGACTTTCTGAATAATAGCAAAGATGATTGGTGTCATGTCTGGAAAGTTACAGGCTAGAATGTAGGACAATCATCTTAATTTGTAGGAATAAATGAACTTGGTTAAATATAAAGGTCATGGGTGTCAAATATATCAAAATAATTCAAATAAAGTAAAATCTCAAATAACTTCCCAACTAGATTAAGTCACAGGGTGAGTTGAACTTTATCAATTTTGTTTCAAAGATTAAGCTTGACCAAATCTAAACATGTGAAGATTTCAAGATATTAAATATAGGCTTGTAAAGAAGGGTTCATAGAGTAGGTATGATTGTTTTATTTCCCGAAACTCTATAAACTGCAGAACATATGAATTATCCATGTTCATAAATCCCTAAATACCTTGAAAAGTGATAAGAACTAATCATAGAAAACTTCCCTGTGATAGTACCTAGAAATGTAC